AAATCATGCCACATCCTAGCCTGTTCACGCACTTTTTAACCACGCACAACATGCTTTGCACTCTGGTCTGGGCCCAGCCACTGTGTCTTGTAAACCATTCTTTATGACTTAGTGCAGTGTTTCTCAACCTTGGCAACTGGGAGACGTGTGGACTTCAACTCCCAGAATTCCCCAGCCACCCATGCTGGCTGGGGAATTCTGTGAGTTGAAGTCCACCCGTCTCCCAGTTGCCAAGGTTGAGAAACACTGACTTAGCATATTACGTACACCAGAAAACTGCAGTTTATTCAATGAACTATGCTTGAACAAACCATGGCTCAGTCATTCAGCTCAATTTGTGAACTACATTTCTTTTTAGCAAGTTAAACCAACCACAGCTTAACAAAATATGTGAAGCAATCTATAAAAGGTTCTCATATTGCTTTCATCCATGAACAGCATCGGAGCAGCCTATAAGCCCAATAAAATAATTGTGATAATGTTACTGTTGTCATTTAACAAATCAGATTGAGTCAAGAGACAACAGTGGTGAGGACAAATTTCGTGAATAAATACTGCCTTACTTGGAATGGGTTTCATGTTTTTTTCTTCCATGACATCTTCAGAAAGCAAGATTTGACTGGCACATTGATGATACCAGTGTGCTAATGGGGCAAAGTTGCCAAGCACTTAGCCAGTTGGGATTGCCAATACCAAACACCAATAATGGAAGAGAAAAGATTCTTGGGAGGAAGGGGGTCAGAAAAACCCAAACATATATCAATATGTTTGCCCCCCAAATATTTGCTGAGAACATTCAACACAAGTCTAGTTTAAATCTCAGGCAAGACAAGGCAGAAGGCTTGGAACAGGTCCTGGAACACTGGAAAATCATAAAGAGAATTTAAAAGCAAGGAGGTCACAGAGTAAGAAATGGCCCTTGGCAGGAGAACTTGGAAGAGGGATTAGTACACCATGAAATATGAAGAAGGAGGTGCAGAAAGTAGAGGAAATGTCATTCCAGATGGAGCTGGAAAAGGTGGGTGGGTGGGCAGGCATGAGTCACCCAGTTCTACTTAAAAATGAGAGAAGCCGTCTGCCGTGATGAATCGGAGGAAGGAGCCTGGTCGATGAAGGGTGTAACTCAGAAAGTGGGATGACACCAGCAGTGGCAAGAGGAAAGAGTAGGTGGCAAAGGCATGGAATTGAAAAGGCAAGGAAGAGGCAGAAGGAAAACTGGGAAGTGGGGCTAAGCCTAAGATGGCTGAAAAGAATCATCTTCCAGGGTCCAGGTCTTTGAAATACCATGGCCCCATTAAACTAGAAGAATCAACCTTGTCTGGGATTGTGTCCTCAAGATACTTGTGCAAAACAACAGCAAATGGGAGGGATCTTGCTTCGTTATGGGGATACATGCACTTCAACAAAAACGCCACATCCCTCTTGGAGTCAGTCAACCAATTGTTTGATTACATCAAGACAGCATTTTGTCAATATTTCCTGGTAATGTAGATCTGAGAGAGGAGGCAGAAAGGGAAGGAATTATGAATTAGATGAAAGGGGTAGAAAAATGCAGCAGCCTGCATATAACTAATGCCTCCATCCAAAATTTGGATGGAACTACATATGTACAGTATGTAGTTGTATGTGTTGGGTTCTACTTTGGAAATCTGCAGAGATATCTATGTCAGGAGAATTTCAGAAGCCTCCTAATTCCTACATGAACTTTAGGTAGGAATTAAGAGGACAACCATGTTAGTCCATGAGGGCAAAAAAATAAGAGGGAGTCTGAAAGCACCTTTTCCAACTTAATGAAGTTTATTCAAAGGCATAAGCTTTTGTGAGCTTCAACACACTTCACCAGATGGATCTGATAGGTAAAAAGGAAGTGCATTATGGGCAGGCCAAAAACAAAAACCCGGATAGATAAAAATTGCCAACTGTGGTTTCAGCTATCTGTGCTGCTTTTAACTCTCTAGCAAAGGGAGCAAGCACGAAAAAACATCTTCTCCTAAGCCAGAACTTTGAACCATCCAGCTTTGATACCCAGCCTTCTCCAAACTGGTGCCCTCCAGTTATGCTGGACTACACCAGGCCATGCAACTTTGGGGAGGCTGAAGCTGATAAGTAGTGGGTGAGATTGATTGATTGATTGATTGATTGATTGATTGATTGAGCCATCAAGTCAGCATCGACTCTTAGCGACCACATAGATGAATTTTTCTCTATAATGATTTGTCCCTAACCTGGTCTTTCAGGTCTTCTTTATATTTTCTCTCCATGTGGTTTTCTTGGTAAAAATACAGGAGGGGTTTACCTTTGCCTTCTCCTCACACAGTATGAATTGATGCCTTTGCCATTGTCACCCACCTCCAGCATCTTCCTATGTCCCTGATGCCCAATACAGATGCCTGCTTGCTTTAGCTGGGCAGTTGGGATGACCTTCACGCCTTGGGTCACCCTGCTGGGAATATATACTCCTGGCATACACTCATGATGTTCTTCGCTCATCCCTCCCAGGAGTACCACCACCACCCTACCACGATGAGGCAGCACAGCAGGACACAGGAGGAGCGGGTGGAATCAGAGCAAAACTCACATTTGACTTCATTGACATTTCATTAAATACAGTTGATGCCATTTCTTCACAAGCATTTTGTCATTTTTCCTCTTTGCCCCATGAAAAGTTACAAAGGGGCAGCAACTTTTGAAAAGATTGGGGACCGCAAGTTTTTGTCAACCTGAATAATCATGTGGGGAAGTCTAATGCAGGTTATCAGCTATGCTCTCCTGCATTTTAGATGTTTTAGGCCTACCTTGTGATGTTCAGGATAAAAACTGGGACCTCAAGTATTCTTCCCCCAAACATCCAAACAGCAGCAGGGGTTCAGTTAGACTCTTGGTAGGCAGTCTGTCCCTGCTACACCATTGGGTTTGAGGTCCTATGTCTTTTCACATCCCTCAGTATCAGGTGCCAGATGGGAGACAGGGTGTGTCGAGTCAAAACCTTCCCCAACCGTCATCTTGGGAACTGCTGAACTCCAGCAAATTATTCCATGGATATGCCAGGAAGCCACCAAGGTATGAGTCAACTAGATATAATAGCCGAATAATAAGTTGTCTCACAGGCCAGGTTAATAAATATTGTGACACCGGCATTTTCAGCCAGAGCAAAGTAGATGCCTGTAATAAAAGCAGAGGAACAAAAATAACTCCAAGGAATGTGATTTATTTGTAGGCTGGTTGGTTGGGAAAATGTAGCTGCCCATCTTAAACAAGTCATTCTGGGGGGTTAACAAACAAGACATAAAAACCGTATTTTAAAAAACGAATATAAAACAATGCAAAATACAATTAAGAATATTAAGAGACTTGTTACGTGTTGTCAGAAGTGTTGTTGACCATGCCAAGATGCAGTCTAACTATGGGACTGTAACTGCAGAAGAGGATAGCATTCCATCTAATTTCAAGCCACCCATGGGATCATAACTGTCCATAAGTTAGCAAAGGCAACCCCGCCCTCCATGAATGGGCATACTTGAATGTGGAAAGGGTGATCCAAATAGCCCAGAAATTTGGGACAGTTTCCCCCATTTTATATTTTCTGTACTGTATTTTGTTGGAACGGATATAGTAAGTTATCTTTGACTGAGTTAAAGAGATATTATTTTGAAAAATAGGTGGGTGGTAAACGGGGAAGCCATCACGTCGTTTCACTCTAAGCAGTTAAGGATGTGAAAGGTAAAGGAAGAAAGGAAGCGCGAGACTGGAGGTCTCTAGCAAGAAGATAGAATCCAGGTGTTTAGAAAAAGCAACAAGAGCTCTTTCGTCTTTGGTTCTGCAAAGTTCTAGATAAAGTTCTGTGAAGCTCTCTAGGGAAGGCTGGGTTCACACAGCATTTAGGCTAAACTGGGGGATAGTATGTTATGGGGAAAACCAATCATTATTTTAGCATCTTATGTGAATGATGTCATCACATGAAGCCATCACGTGCATGATGTGCTTTGGTATTGCATATAATATGAACACGGCCAATATGTTTTGCAAACCTGGATTTAGAGCTTAGGATATTGTGCGAACCCAGACTAAGGGTCATGCAAGGATTCTTTTCAACTCCTTTCAGTTCTGTTGATGCCAGAATGACTTCTGCATTCGAGCCCTACATAATTCTGATGTAAAATTTACAAAATGACATGTTTGATAGAGATCTGGACAGCAGTATTTTGAAAGGGCATATGAAGGGAGGTTATGCATCCCTTCATATGCCCTTTGGAGCAATCTTAGCATGAGAGAGCAACTTGCATCCCCCGCCCCCGGTGCCCTCCTTCACTGGTGCCCCAAACAGTATTAATATACCTTTCAACCAAATTTTGGCAGGAAGGAAAGCAGAGTATTTATTTATGCATGTTCTTAAACTATTAAATATCAGTTGCCTTTGCTTCATGCTCTGCTCCACCCACTTTTTCTTCTTGCTCTGCTCCACCTACTTTCTCTGGTCATACCTGCTGCTCTGAGTACAGCCCTCCACATACTACAGGTAGTCCTTGCTTAACAACCACAGTAGGGACCAGAAAATTGGTTGTTAAGGGGGGGCAGTTGTTAAACGAATTGGAACTGATTTTATGACCTTTTTTGCAGCGTCATTAAGCAAATCACCATGGTCATTAAGCAAATCAAGCAGTTTCCCATTGATTTTCCTTGCCAGAAGCCAGCTGGGAAGGTCGCAAATGGTGATCACATGACCCTGGGATGCTGCAACCGTTGTAAGTGCGAGCTGGTTGCCAAACACTTGGATCGCAATCACATGACTGCAGGGGTGCTGGGATGGTTGTAACTTTGGGCACTGGTCGTATGTCACCTTTTTTTAGTACCGTTGTAACTTCAAACAGTCACTAAACAAATGGTTGTTAAGCGAGGATTATCTGTATGTTGGACTGAAAGCAGCTCTAAGCATTAAAAAGTTACCTAACACTTGAAAGCTAGGAAACCTGTTTAACTATATGCTTCTGTTGACTTTCCAGGTGCTCGTGAGCTGAGCTTCCAACTTCTATCACCATGGATTGGAAGACCTTACAGGGCCTGTTGAGTGGAGTAAACAAATACTCCACTGCTTTTGGCCGCATCTGGCTCTCTGTGGTCTTTGTTTTCCGTGTCCTTGTTTTTGTGGTAGCTGCTGAGCGGGTGTGGGGAGATGAGCAGAAGGATTTTGACTGCAACCACAGGCAACCTGGTTGCACTAATGTCTGCTATGATCATTATTTTCCCATCTCCCACATCCGTCTCTGGGCACTGCAGCTGATTTTTGTCACCTGTCCATCTCTGCTCGTCATCATGCACGTGGCCTATCGTGAGGACAGAGAGAGGAAGAACCGGGAAAAAAATGGGGAAAATTGTCCCAAACTATATAGCAACACTGGAAAGAAACATGGTGGTCTTTGGTGGACTTATCTCCTCACCCTCTTCTTCAAAATGGCGATTGAGATCATTTTCCTCTATCTCCTCCATAGAATATGGGACAGTTTTGACCTGCCACGCCTGGTCAAGTGTGATATGCAGCCTTGCCCTAATACAATTGATTGCTACATTGCTCGGCCAACTGAGAAGAAGATTTTCACTTATTTCATGGTAGGGGCATCAGCTCTTTGCATTGTCCTCACCGTGTGTGAGATCTTCTACCTCATCTTCAAGAGGGTAGTCCGCTCAATGCATAAATGGAAGAAGAACAAGAAGTCACTGACATACAGCAAGGCCTCCACCTGCCACTGCCATTTGAGGATGGAACAACCACAGGACGGGAAATTAAAAAATCCACCCTTGGAAGCCCTCAGAGCTTCTGCACCTAACCTGACTTTGATCTGAGTGGGAGAAGAAGCAAATCCGAAATGGCCCCATTCCAGGACACATAAGTCGTTTTTTTAAACATGAAATGGGGAAAGAGGACTTGAAGTGGAGGTCTTCCATTGTATCACTAACCAAATTTTCCACAAAGGAAGGGCCACAATGATTGAAGGGGAGCACTGCCATGTTTATTCAGGTCTTAAGACAAGGCCATCTGTTTACATACGATAACTAAACTAAGCATGCACACTTAATATGCTCTGGCAAACCCTGCTAGAAAAGTTGTAACCTTCTACATCCTCAGGTTTATGCTTTCTACTTTTCCAAACTATCTCACAAGGAAGGTAAACATCTGCATACAATATGTTGTGATCTTTAAAACTTACAACAGCTAAACTCTATGACCTTGGATTTCTTCCTCTGATTTATTTAGTTGTTTATAGGGTTGTTTATAGAGCATTAGTCACTGAATTTTCTGCCAAGGTGGGGGGTAAATTAATTAGGGAAATTCAGTAAACATGCATTATTTAACCCAGATGTCCTCCCGTCTCTTGCAGGCCACAATTCTCTGAAATGACAAATGCTAATGTGGTCTGCAAAGCAGGTTAAACAAATCACATTGAAAGGTTGTTTCAGCCGAATTTCCTCTCTTGAATTTCACCTGGAGGAAATCCACCATGAATTTGGAGTTCTTGTTGAGAACAAAAATATCTGAGGAACTCCAAGAGAAGCAAAGTCTTGCTATGCACATTTCTTCAAGGAAGAAGAGAGATTCTGTTTATACCATTCCAACCCCATCTGTAGTTGAATTTGATTCCTGATGACTGTATCTGTGTATTTTCCACAGAAAGTCCTTTCACATAAGAAAACAAAAAGATTATGTTGAGTTGGGTTAAAAAGGAATGAGACAGTATTTTCTTCTCCGAAGCCTTCTAGAGAGGACATGGCCTTCTACTCTCTGCAAAACATAGAAGTATCCTGACAAGGAGAGCTGAATTTGGTATAGATAGAAGAGTTGGTGGGGGATAAAACTTTCCCAAGTTCTCCACCCCTGATCTTTCACCCTGTTTTGTAACAGAAGACGTCCACAGAAATCAAGACTAATGTAACATTTGACATTCATTTGGAAGGATTAGTCCAGAGGAAAGGGGGCATGTCATAACAAAAGAGATGGAAGGAAGCAGTTAGTCTAAATCAATGTTTACAGCTCAGTTTAGCCAGAAGAAACATAGCAACAGAAAAGATTTCACTATTAGCAGAAGAAGGTATTTTGAGAAAAGTGGAGATAAGGCTACAGAACTTTTCAGGGAGAGTTCGAGTCCCCTTAATTAAGAGTTTCACATAGACCCTCTTTCATGCAGAGCAAGAATTAAAGTCATATTTAAAAGATTTGCTTGGCTGATGCATCTGTTGCTGTGGGAAAGAAAATTGACTATGGACAAAGATTAGGCAGGACCCATGCCTCACTCTGGAACAGGTTAGCAAGAGACAGCAGGCAGGAGTCCCTTTGTTTTAATTAGTTTTTATTATAAAAGTTTTTTACAAAATAGAAACAATACCAGTTGAAAGAAAAAAAGAAAGTCAAGTCAAAGAAAAGTGACAAGTAAACAAAAAAGAAATGAAAGAGAAAAATGCAAAGAAGTGGCTTCCAATCTTCTTTACAGTAGTTATAAAGGCATTTATATGTTATCCTCTTGCTCTAAGGTTACATCATGGCTCCCTTCTTTCCATAATGTACCCTCCTTAATCATCAAACCCTTAAATCACAAGTTCATTTTTTCCATTTTCAGCAAAAAGTCCATAAAGAGTTTACAGTCAGTAATAAAGCTGGTTATCGTCTTTTCCCTCATCAAACAAGTCAACTTTGCCATCTCTGCAAATTCTGTCATCTTCACCAACCATTCCTCCATTGTAAGACAGCAGACAGGAGTTCCAATTATTTCTAGAGGGCCTGACATTCCCAGCTTCCCCAAGCAGAAATCGCAAAGAAGTGGTTGGAAAGACGGACAAAAAAATTCTGTGGAGCAGCAGTTTGCTCAGTTTCTCATGTTTTCAGCCTTAAGTTTGTTTTGTTTCATTTCTGCCAACAATAATCATGAGGAGGAGGAGGAGAATAATTCTAATTATTATAACTTTACCACATTTCTAACAACCGCATTTTTGCAAGCTTGTTTTCACTTGCAAACACTTTCAATTTTTTGTTATGATTATATAAAGGAAGTTTTAAAAATGCAAATAGAAGTTTTAAACAATATTTTAAAAAATAGGCACTACAGATAAAAAGCCCAAATATAAATAGCAAATGTACAGCCAGATAGCCAACAAGTGTAAAATATAATGACTAATATATTCAAGTACATCATTTGAAAGCTTCCGTACCATAAGACGTTTTGTACCCATTTCTTAACCAAAACATGTCTCTATTAAACTTTAAAGGTATTTGGTTAATACAGTCGACGTAATTAAAGAAAAAAGGGAGAAAGAAAGAGAAACTATAGGTGATAAACAATACATTAAAACAATGCTGTCAATTATATGTCGATTATATGACAGAATATAAACTCTAAAACTCGCATTTTGGGTGTGGCACAATTTCATAAATAAAACTGAAGTGTAGAAATGGTTTCCAAATAGTACTGAATCCACCATCAGATTTATTTTACAAATAGGAACTTTCGCTAGCCATTGAAGCCCACATGGGTAATCATTCTTCCACAGGGAATCAAAGATCTTTCCCAATAAAAAAAATATATATATAAAATCCTTTTATAACAAAGCCCTTAACAAAGACAATGCCAGTTCAGCATATGTTGAAGAAATGTATGGCTTAGTGATGTTTAATAAAAAATATCTCAGGAAATGGGATTATGACGTTCAGAATGTGTTCCTTTCTACAATGGCTTATTCTCCAGTAACGTTGAGCTTAACAGCATTGTCACCACACATGGAAGAAGGATCCAGTCTGTTCATTACATGTGTAACATTTTTTGAAAAAAAGAATTCTTTATTTTAGCAATCAAGACCGGAGTGATATGCCGGTGATCAAACGTGCACAGGAAACTGCAAATCTCAGAAGATGAAAACATTTTGGTTACCCTATTACTTCTGGACATGTGAAGGAGGTAGGCTTATATTAACATGTGAACTGAAGAAATTTGTCCCCCAGCTCTATCCTACCCTACTTAGAATTAAAGGCACCTCAATTCATTGAGACCTATTTCTTTCTGAGATCTGGAAATACCAGTTGGAACAATCTCACTTTTTCCACAAGCTCTTTTCTCTCCACCCTTTCTCCCTTGCTTAAATCATGTACTGGCAATGCTGACTACCTTGAAGATGAGTTTTCAAGGATAAACAAGGATTATTCAGCTGCTAAAAGTTTCTTGAACACACCCAAGTGTGATAACAGATAAGTATTGATGTATCAGTCCAAGCCTTTTATCGGCACAACGATTTGATGTATGTTTTGTTTCAGTGGTCTTCAGAAGAACTTATTATCACCACTGATAAGACCTACTTGCACTGCCACCCAAGATTATATATTCTTCAATAGCAACAGGGAAAGTGACACCCATGGGTGCTCACAACAACCTTGGAGCCTCCAAGGACCCCCCTAATCTAAGCCAACGTATTTAGAATTGTAAAACTAGAAACATAGTTGAAAGTTCACAAGCGAGACAAATGCACAAGATCTTGTCTTTCTTATATGGGATCTTGAGAGATTTCAGATAACCATGCTGGATCTTCCTAGATTTCTGGGAAGACTTTAGGTGGCTGAAATCTCATAAGATGTGGCCACAGTGCAAGATTACATGCATTACTTCACTTTTCTTCTTGAGATGAATGGAGGTATAACTCATGCAAGATGCCACGATGGTTTATAGCAACTGAAAAAAAAATCCAAACAACTCTTGCATGAATTTAGAAAGAATGCTTGTAAAGTTCAAGGCCTTCGGTGATTTAACTATTTTACTTTAACTTCTTTCCAGATGTGCTTAAAATCATTGTTTTCGCAATTCCCAACCAACATGCTATTGACTAGTTAAGAATTCTTGAAGTCATGATCCTCATACATTCAGAAGGTACCAAGCTGGGGAAGAAGCCAGAAGCTCTTTCTCCTATCATGCTGCCATTTTTAATTGGTGATGCCAAATGTGAATATGCAATATTCCATAGAGGACTTTTTTCCTAATTAGAGGAGGTGAAGAGATGAGTGTAGAAACCAACTTGGGTGCTGTCCTATAGGCTGGGTGCTACAAGAATTTCTGTATACTGACACACCTAACAATTTACTCGTCAGACAGGAATTGTTCTGAGAAATGGATTTCCAGGTCATGTTCAGACTGTCAAGCCTAGTGCCATCTACTCTGACAGAACCTCTCCAAAATCTAGGGCAGAGATTTTTGGAGGTTTGTTTTCTAAGTTCATTAAGCTGCAGACATTAGAAGATCAAATGCATGCAAAGTAGGGATTCTGTTTCTCAAGTTGAAATTACTCCCCAGGAAGCAGTCCTTGGTCTTTTTTTCTGCCCAAAGATGGATGGTGTAGAACTTGAATCACAGTCACAGAGGTATGAATCTTCCATTTGCTATAATGTCTTCATTCTTTCAACCACGCATCTATTCCATCCCATATCTGCAAAAGTACACATTTGCATGTATTCGTTCTGTCCTGTTTTTCAACATTTTGTTCACAACGTCCCCTAATGTACTCTTTTTGGGGTATGTACATTTTAAGCTTTTAAAGAGAAACAAAGAGTAAAGAATTGCATTATAATAATCAAAAAAGTGCAACAGCTGAAGGGTAATGGCATTCCAGCAAATTGGATTACACTAAAATTCCAACCAAAGAAATGTCCCCCGTCAGCCAAACTAGCTAGCCAGTGGCTATTATGGAAAAACTAAAAAACTCTCCCTGCACATTTTAATTTCTGTTGAACTTCCACCTCTGTCACTGTTGTCCTTCCAGGTATTGCTTAGATCTGAGCCACCCGATGGTCCCAGATGAAGATGTTGGAAATTGTAACTCAGCAACATTGCCCCACGAGTTTCCCATCATGGTATCAACATTCATACCTTTCCTCTCTCAGGGTACCCTATCCTGGTACTCTGGGAACTATTCTGGTCTAGTCTGGTCTGTTGTCCAAGTGGATGGCTGTACCTAACTGCAAAGGACTGAAGTTGGGAGCTTTACTCCCCCCTGGCCTCCATCCTTGAGAAAAATATATATTCAGTAACACCATAGATGGTTTCCCTAGCTTGGAACAGTTTTACTAACTTTGACCCAATGGAAACAACTCCCTCAGAACCATCCCTACTCCATGTTCCTCATCCAACCAGTCTTCTTGCTCATAATGTCCTTCTGGGATGGTCCATTCCTCCACCTCTTTTCATTTCAGGGTTTTGCTTTTGACTTCCCATCAGAAAACAATTCCTCTGCTTCCACTAAATACAATCCTTCTCTACACACTCTCCCCTCGCTCAGCCTCTTTTCTTTCTCTTTCCTTAAGGATGACTTCCACCCACCCCATGAAGTCCCCTTTCCAATTTTACCCTACCTAGATAATTGCTCAGTAGACCCCATTAGGTTGGGCTCAACTTTTGATGACTTAATGAATACATCCCTATTGTTTTCTTGCCAGCATTATGGAAGTGGTTTCCCAATTCCTCTTTTCTGAATTTTTTTGACTTTCCAAATTAGTTTACAGCCCTAGACTCTCATCCAAATACTGATCAGGTCCAATCCTGCTTTACTTTTTCCAAGATTAGCCAATGTTGTGGGTGGATGCTGCTGTGAACTTGATGACCTTAATCAATCCCAATTCGCTCAACCTGTTCCCAAGAAATATAACAGTCACAAAAATATCCAAGGAAAGCCACAGCTCTGTATATTGTTCCTTTACAAAAGGATAAATGGCTTCTATGAGGCAGTTTAGTAGAGTGGATAAAGATACTAAGCTAGAAACTGGGAGGTCATGAGTTCTACTCCAGCCTTAGGCACAAAGCCAAGGTGACCTTGGTCCCATCACACCTTCTCAGCCCTAGGAAGAAGGGGGCAAGGGCAAGCCACTTCCAAAATCTTGCCAAGAAAACTGCAGCGACTTGTCCAGGCACTCACCAGGACTCAAGAGTGACTTGGGCACATACCTACACACAAAACGCTTCTATATCAAAGATGATGGATGACTGCAACCTGCTTGATTTACCTGAGGAATTTGTCAAGCTTTAAACCAAGGTTCAGCAGCAAATCAGTCTCCAGACACTTAATCCAAAATTCAGGTCTCAGCAATATTTGGCAGCTTTGTCCTAGAAATGAGATAGAGAGAGATCTAAGAGTTTAAATTATAGGCTTCTTCCTTCTGTCCTTCCATGTAATGGATACCTTATCATAAAATTAGTAAAAAGTCCTACCAGGCTCTTTCTGGTTTTTGGTTAGTCTCTTGAAAACTTTGGGAGGCAGCTGAGATAAGTTTATAGAATGGCTTTTCCATAGCCTGGGAACTGCTGGTTCCCATCTCACCAACTTCAGTCCTTATAGAACTGCAACACCTACTG